GGATGGATGGATGGATGGACAGAGGATGGATGGAAGGAAGGATGGATGGATGGATGGATGGATGGATGGATGGATGGATGGACAGAGGATGGATGAAAGGAAGGATGGATGGATGGATGGATGGATGGATGGATGGATGGATGGATAGATGGATGGATGGATGGATGGACAGAAGGATGGATGGATAGATGCTGGAGCTCAGGGTTAAAACACTTGCCAAGAAGGTAGGATGAGGCCCTGGTTCCAGCCCAGCATGTCAAAAAAGAAGGAACAAAGATGAAATTAAAGGAGAACAATGAGGAAAGCATAACAACCTGGCCTTCATGTCAGCTCACTACACAAGGATGCGCTATCTCAATTGTATAGGAATGGAGGTACAAGTAGCCAGTTGGTTTTCTTGGGGTCACACACCCAGGCCCAGGATCCCCTCATCTCTTCTCCGCAGCTACATTCTCTGCTCCTCACCCAGTGCACACAGGCAACCACTGGCCCCCAAGCAAAAGCATCCCATGGCCAGGACCATTTGCTAGCACCCAGTAGACCAGGCACACACAGTGGCCCTGGAGCAACATCTGGGGACACTGTCCCCATGGCTCACCTTTGCAGGTGTTGGGCTGTGGCAAGGGCAGCGGGATGGTGTTGGGGACCACCTGGGCTAGCTCAGGTCCTGATGCAGACTCCCGTGTGGGCTCTGGCTGTGGCACAGTCCTGTCTGTTGGAGCAAAGCACAGAGCAGAGGGTGGAGTGTGCACCTGCCAAGCCTGGTGTACTCTTGGGCACCAGCCCGTCTCATACTCAGGCACTGCACTGGGCACTGAAGGCCCTCCCACATCAGAGAAGAAACTGAGGCCCAGGGACAGACACTTCCTGGGTAAGAAACATCTCACAGTCTCTTGGGGAGATAAATACGGGGTAGGCAGGAAGGAGAGAGGAGGAAGAATGTTCAGGCTGAAAATGAATCACCCCTTCTATGCCAGGGCTGAACACCACAGCACCTCACAGCCACAGTGGGTCTAGGCAGAGCCTCTCCCTGTGGACCTCTCTGACGGGCCTCAGTTGTCTCCATGGCTGCCTTGCACCAGTCCCAATGTAAGCAGCAGTGAAGCGCCATGCCCTTCCCACTCCTCACCTGGGCGGCAGGTGTGGCCGTCGTCCTGCAGCGAGAAGCCTGGGAAGCAGGCACAGCGGTAGGATCCCACAGTGTTGATGCACAGGTGCTGGCACAGCTCGCCCGGCAGCAGCAGGCACTCGTCCTGATCATCACCTGGCAGGCTGTTGGGCAGCTCGGCCTCCGTGCCCAATGACAGGGCCTCCCGGCTTCCCATCTCTGGCTCTGAAACTGGGGTGGGAGTTAGAGCTCAGGAGAGAGCCAGGCTGGATGGGCACACAAGCCCCATACCAGTGCAGGTCCAACAGACAGTAAGGACAGAGGAAAGAGAGATGAATGCAGTACTGCAGAGAGGGAGGGAGGGATAGATGGATGGATGGACAGGTCAGTGGGCGGACAGACGAGTGAATGATTGCAAGCATACAGGTATGTGTGAGTGAGTGAACAGATGGATGAATGGGTAATGGATGTACAGATTGATCGACGGATGGATGGATGGATAGATGGATGGATGGATGGGCAAATGAATGAACAATCTTGCAATAATAATGAACCCATGAGAGCTGGGTCCAAGTCTTCATTACCTGAGTTCCCAGTAACAAGACCTGGCTGGGTCCCCAAGGAAGCTCTTACTAAAATGCTAAAATAGATTCTGACTGATTCCTCAGCCTCAGTGACATAAGGGAGATGTCCCCTAGCCATAGAAGAGTCCCCCTCCAACCAAATCTGGATCCCACTGGGTGGGGATCAGAACCCTGCCCCAGGCTTTTCTTGGGCACACTGCTCTGGGCAGCACCAGGTCTCTGGGATCAACCCACCTCCCAGTGCTGTGAAGAGCACAGGGCAGAGAGGGGAGAGGGCTGGCTGAGCAGCTTTGGGAGGCTCTGCAACATCACAGGGAGAGGCAGGGCTGGGGCTGAGGGCAAGACCTGCAGCCCTGCCAAGTTCTGTGCCACCTGAGACCTCAGCCCTTCCAGCAGCCACCAGCAGCAGAACCCCAGAGGGAACAGCTGCGCACAATCATGGGAGAGGAACATAGTTCAGATGACAGTGTTTACATTAAGTTCCAGCTTGAGAGGCCCACCAAGGGCTGAGGCAGATCTGGACCCAGGGCCACTAGTACACCTGGGCCAGGCCAGACCCCCCATTTCAGGTTCAGTTCACATTCAGCAGCCAGTCTGGCCCTACTGCCTTCCACCTCCCAAGAAGAAGGAGCGTGTTGTCACTAGCCCTGCTGCCATCTGCCATGCAAACTACCTGCTCTCTGCCTACCTACCTGCCTTCTGATCCCTGAGGCCGGATTTCTTACCAACACCACCTGAAAAACCTAAAAACAGATTCTGCTGGGTTGTAAACTGGGTCTTCACATAAGCACTCACGCAGTTCCCTGAAAGGAAGGGTGGATATAGATAGGTGAGTGGAAGGCTGTGTGGGGAAATGGGTGAGTGGGTGAGTGGGCAGATGATGGGTGGATGAGAGGATGAGTAAAGGACTAAAGGATGAATGGATAGACATGGAAGCGAATGGATAAAATAAATGGAAGGATGAGTAGATGAATGAGTGGTTAGATGGGTGGGCCAGTGCGTGACTGGGTAGGTGGGCATAGGGGAATGGATGGATCAACGGAATGAAAGGATGAGTGGACAGATGGATGGGTGAGCAGGTGGATGAGTGAATGGATGGGTCATGGATGGGTAAGTGGATGGGTGGATAAGTAAACTGGTGCACAGAAGGGTGAATGGATGGGTAGGTGAGTGAGTTGGGTAAGTGAATGGATGGGGGAGTGGGTAGATGGCTGGGTGGGTGAGTGGATGAAGGGGTGAATGGTTGGGTGGGTGAGTGGATGAAGGGATGAAGGGATGAACAGATGGGTGGGTGAATGGGGTGGACAGGTGAATGGGTAAGTAGGTAGATGGATTGATACATAGATGAATGGATGGATGGGTGAATGGGTGGTTGGATGGGTGGATGGATGGGCTGGGTGAGTGAATGAATGGATGGATGAATCGATGATTGAGTAGGTGGATGGGTGTGGAGGACCACTTGAGCAGCTCTCCTTGAAAGAAGAGTGAATGTCTCCATTTTGACGGAGCCTGACCCTATTTCCTCGTATTGTTCTGTACAGAGCTGGCTAGGACTTCTGTTTATCCTTCAATTGGCCTTAAGCAATGTGTATTGGTCTAGCTGAGGTGCTGGTGATAAGTCTTTGAAGGTGGCGCGTGTGTTTCCCTGGTAACCTATACCTGCTGCTCTTTAATGTGAGCTGGGTCAAGACAGGACAGAAGAGCTAATTCTCCGTGCCACCAGCTGGGATCGAGCCTCAAGAAAGAGGCTATGAATTCCTGGGGCTTGAAAGGCTGTATGCACCAGACCCTCCAAAAGTATCTCAATAGCATAAAGCAGATTACTCTCTCTGCATCTCCTCTCTGCATATGACAGAGGTAAATGTAGGCCACCCACCTAGCTCAGTTCACAGTAGTCACCTACTGCCCACAATTCTCAGTCAATCCTCCTCAAGCCACTCCTCCACTGAATAAAACCGGGTGAGGACCTGGGTTGCTCTCTTTACTCCGGAAAGCCATCTTCATGGTTGGACTTAGATCCCCTCAACTCCCCGATGATTGAAAATATAATTTAGGGTCTTTATTTTTGCCATGGGTTGCATTAAAAGTGGTAGATTGGAATCAACTTAATGGGATTCCAATAATGTAACTTTGGAATTACAAACATTGGCTTCTTGGACCAAGACGAGGACCTGGAAGTGTCTCCTACAGATGGGTGGGTAGATGGGTGGGTGTATGGGAGGAAAAGTAATGATCCATAAATGGAAAAAGAGATGGGAGAGTAGCAAATGGACAGTGGAGGGATAAGGACGGTAGTTGGTGGTCAGTAGGTGCAATGGGTGATACACAGAGAGCTGTATCTCCAAATTGAGTCCAAGGTCACAAGACTGTCTGGAGCAGAATTCAAACCTAAAGCTATAGACAACAACAGGCCCAGGGTGACCAACATAAAGCAGCAATCTAGCCTGGACTTGATGCCCCCTAAAATTCACAGTCCCTCCTCCTCCCCAAACCATCCCAAGCTCCAGCCCAGGAAGGACAACACCCACCTCTGCGTGGCGCAGCCTCAGGCTCGGGAGGCCGGCGGACCTCAGGCACGATGAGGGGGTCCTCGCCCTCACAGCAGGAAAGCATGACATGGTTGCAAGGGTAGCCCAGGTTGGGGTTGGACTCACATGCCTGGCCCTCAGCCCTCACATGGAGCCCCAGGCCACAACAGTCACAACATTGCTGGAGGGAGATTCAGAGGAGCTAAATTCAGAGGTGAGTTTTCAGCAGTACATTTTGTTTTGTTTAGCACTGGGGATTGAACTCAGCTTTCAACTGAGCTAGATCGTTAGCCCTTTTCATTTTTACTTTGAGAAAGGGTCTTGCTAACTTGCTAAATTTCCCAGGCTGGGTTCAAATTTGCAATCCTCCTACCTCTGCCTCTCGGAATGCTAGGACTACAGGCAAGGAACACCGTGCCTGGCTCTCATGAGAGCCTTTAACTAGGACTCATTCTCCTTGAAAGTATACCTATTTTGTTCTCCCCCTTCACCTTCTTGAGGCACATACTTCTTGAAGCAGGTAGTGACAGCTGGAGTTTTTACAGCCATCAGGGCCACAAAGTATCCCCAAAGATCAAAGCTCCACACCAAGGAAGATTAAAACTAAAACTAGAAACCTGGGTCCCTGATCTACCTCATCTCAGACTGCATACTTCCAAGAAGAAATGAGGTTTCATTTATTTCAACTATAGTGGTAGATTCACCGTCATCAGAGCCCCAGTTGCTCCCTTCTCCTTGTGTCCTCTGCTTTGTAATATGGCCCTTCAGCTCCCACACTGACAGTAGCTGTGCCTGAGGACTTGCTTTGGCCAAGTGTGAGACATAAGCAGCAGTGTGCTGGCTTGCACACAGCTACAGCTGGATCTGGGTGTCCTAAGGGCAGAGTTGGGAAGCTTTTCTCCTCACCTTGGGCTACTGGAAGGCAACAGAACCTTTGAAAAATGGGGTCTGGCAGGAGGTCATAGGTCACTTATGCTATATGTTCTATCAGTGCCAGAAAGCTGACCGACATACATACTTTCATTCCCTCTCTTAGAATCCAACAAGATTGCTAGCTGACCGGGCCCCAGACAGCCTGCACGGCTAGATAGACAGCTCATGGCCCATGGCACCACATACACTAGACCACAGAGACCAGCTGGGCAAGGTCCCAGTCGGCAGAGCAGACTGGTGCACTGGGCCTGGCATAAGCTGGGGGACTATGGGCACTTCGTTATGCAGTGGTAGCTCGCTGAGGCCCCTGGCTTATTCTCCCAGGGTGGAATCTCCCACCAGTTGAAGCCCCACGTGGGACACAGCACCTCCTCCCTGGCATTGCCCCTGATCCTCCCTGCACCCAAAAAGTCAAAGATTTCTAGCCCCATTTTCTAGAGGGAAGAGCTAATGCTAAGATCTGGGAATCAGTCTAGGGATAAGCATAAGGAGATGGGACTCCATGCTTGCTTATCAGCAAGGTCCTTTCCTAACATCAGTAAAAATGGACCGCAAAATGACAAAACGCTAAGTTAAAAACCCTCTCCCCAATGCTGCCCCTTCCTGAGACCGCTCATCATTATCCAATCTCAGGACCAAGCGGTTGAAGATAGGTCACTGTTGACCCCAACTCTGTTTTCCTTCTTCTTGGTTTTCAGTGGACACCTGACCTCCCCAGAATAGAGTACATTTCCCAGCCTCCCTTTTGCTTAGATGGCCCCATGACTAAGTTCTAGCCAATGAGATGTAAGCAGAGGCATTTTTTCTGCTCTTAAAAGTAGGCTCTTCTATCTGGGTGCCAGCATCTTGAAGTATGCCGTCCAAAGACACGCAGCACACACACAGCATTGTGCAGCTGTCACTGTCTGAGTCTAGACCTTATCTTTGTCCATCTTCTCAAACTGAAACTCAGTCCCAGTTGAGCACTAACTCACCCATCCCTGAGCCATTGGTACTCACATCCCCCCTTCTCTCTCCATGGGTCAGGCCACCACTGGAGAAGGGAAGTCATCCAGTGTTATCCTTTTGTGCCTGGTTATTGCACTTAGCATCATATCCTCAAGATTCATCTGTGCTGTCACATATGTCAGAATTCCTTTCATATTTTCAAATGTTTAGGAATTGAACTCAATTCACTGACTTTGGCCTCCTCTCTCTAGCTCTTCCTCTACAGTATGATCACCTCCTAGTACAACACAGGGCAGTGTTCCGCCCTTGCTATCCCAATGGAGACACTACCAGGGCAGGACAATATAGCACCCACACACCCTGGGTCAACTGGCATCTAATGGCATTTTCTGCACAGATTCTGGGACCCCTGAGGTGGGAGAAGCCATGGCCACTTGCCTTGTACAGGGACACATTGCAGGTGTCATTGTCCTCTGTCCCACAGGCCTCACCCTCCTTGGCTCCCAGCACACCGGCCACGCAGCTCTTCTCCTTCAGGTAGGATACGCAGCAGTGCCTCTGGGCAGTCCTGCAAAGGTAAGTAGGCATCAGCCCAGCCACTCCATCCCCCTGCAATGGTCCCAAGTCAGAGGACAGGTAGAGTGGGCTGCCCAAGATGCCAGCACAGTGAGCCAGAGTGGCTGTCAGGGAGGTGCCAACTTATCATGTTGTATGGCTTTAGGACTCAGTGGCTTGGGTCCCTTGGGGCTCAGAGCTGTAGGTCTCTGACTGCTGAGGGGAAAAAACACAATTCCCTGCCCACTTCCAGGACAGACTGGCACAGGGAGAGCCAGGCCAGGGATGCAGGAGTCACAGGCATGGGATTCAACACCACCTGAAGCAAGCATATCCTAGAGGTGACTACTCAGTGAAAGAAGTGGTGAGCTCCCAGTCACAAGAGGGATACAAGGGTATACTAGGGCCACGAAGCCCAAACTCCAGGTATCTGAATGGTGGATGCTCTTACTCCTCCTCAGGATCCCTGAGTGGGTGGGAAGGGAGAAGACAAAGGAAAGTGAGTGAGAATTTGAATTTCTCTGAAGAACACAGCACTGGCCGGGCACTGGCAAACATGCAGTCTGATTCTGCCCAGGTGCCTCGACCATGCAGGTCCAGGTGAGTCACACAGCCTCTTGGAATCCCACCCTCCTTATCTGGAGAAATGAGCAGGTTGGAAAAGATGGTGCCACTGGAGAAAGGAGGGTGAGGGGCCCCCCAGATCTACCTGTAGGCATCTCACCTGCACACATCGCCCTGAGCGCCACTCTCCGGCATCTCTGTGCACTCATCGTTGTCAATGGCCCACTGCTGCCCGGCCGCACAACATGACTCGATCAGGTCCTTGGTGGAGCCTGTGGGCACAAGAGGGGCAGAGAAGGCCTCTGCCCAGGACTCCAGGGCTAAGGCCAGGTCCTGAGGCTCACTGGCAGCTGGACCCTGTCCCCGCCCCTGCCGCTATGCATATGGCTGAAACAGTAGCTGCCAGGGAGGGGCACGGCCCAAAGAAGACTCAAGGGCTCAGCCTTATTGGACCAAGAATAGCTGCTCCTGGGGAACAGGGCCAAAGATCCTCCAGCTCTCATCTCCCACTCCCAAGACCCTGGCTTTGCTTCAAAGAACCTATCTGCGTCACTACACCAAGGCACAACACACCTATAATGTCAGCTATACAGGAGGATGAGGCAGGAGGAAGGGTCACGAGTTTGAGGCTAATGTGGACAGTGCAGCAAGACCTTGTCTCAAAACTTAAATAAAAGGGGGGGGCTGTGGATGTAGCCCCATGCGATGGTCCTGGGTTCAACACCCAGGAAAAATGAATGAATGAAAGAGGGGAGAGAGGAGAGGGACACAAAGAGAAGAAGAGGGAGAGAGGCAAGGAGCATTGGCAGCAATGGACACACCCAACTCAGCAATGGAATTTAATGGCAGGAAGTGAATGGGAGGAATCAGATGGGAGAGAACATCTTAAAATTCAGATTGCGGGTAGCAGAGTGCCTGCCGAGCATGTGCAAGGCCTCGACAACCCAAAGCAGGGACAATTTAAAAAGTATTAAAATTAATGCTAATGAACAATTGTTATCCTAACATGATGGCCCAAAATAAAGCCAGCATACTCAAATTAGTAGTCTTCTTACAGCTCAGAAGCAATTAAACAGGAAAATCCTATTTGCAAAATAAACCAAAAATAAATCAACAGTAAAGATGTTTGATTTATGTGAAGAAAAATATTTGATGGTCTAATGGTAAAGGAGTAGGCTTTACTCTAAATACGTACCACACATCTGCACAAGAAACTCAGTACCTCAAAGATGTCAGTTCTCCTAGGCTTAATCTCCAGTCTCAAAGCAATTCTACCCACAGTCCCAGCATAATTTGTTACAAAACTTGTTGAGATGATTGTGACATCCATGCAAAAAATGAAGAAGTGTTTAAGGAAACTTCGGCAGGGGGGGCACATGTGCAGGTCTTTCTGTACTAGTATAAAAAATACACTTTAAAGTTCTAAGCATTAAAAAAAAAAAAAAGTTAGGAGACGGAGGGACCCAAACTGGGTTCAGAGACAGAAGTGGGTGACATGGTTTCTGAGTTATGATGAAGGTGCACAATAGGGCCAGTGCGATGGTGTGGAGCTTAACTGCGCCCTAAAGCCATGTGTTGAGGCCACGGGCATCCTGGGAGACAGTGGGACCTCTAAGTGGTGGGTCCTGGTGGCAGCAAGTGAGGCCATTGGGGGTGTGGCCTTGAAGGGGCATTGGGGTCCACCTTGGTGTTTGCAGAGCAAGTCACTGAGAGCTTGGAAGCCATGGTGCCAAGCGGCAGGGCGAATGCTGACAGGAAGAATCCAAGGTGGCACAGACACCCTCAAGCGGCCCACGGGGCCTGGAGGCCAGGCCTCCCCCTGCCTCCCCCACTGCTGCCAGACTCGGTATGGAGCATCTGTGGCTGCTGGGAGCCACGCCACCACTCTGCACTGGCTCTCTGCTTGTGGCACTCTGGCATGAATACTTCCAGCGATGGGGTGCTCACCCTTGCTCAGTCCCCACCTCCTGGCCCTCTGCTCCTGTTGCTGTCCCCAGTCACCATCTGTACAGTGTTGGAATGACCCACAGGTCCCTACTGCTGGCAAGTCTCATGTAGCGTGGCCCCCTAGCCCCCCACCTTGTCTCCTTTCTCTGGCCTCTCTGTCCCTCCATCTCACCATTCCCTCCTTAAACTTTTCATCCTGCTCAGGCCCCAGGGCCTTTGCATGAGCCACGCTGTGGAGAACCTTCCAGTCCTCCCATGCCCTGCCCATCTGCTACCATCTCCCAGGTGGATCTTTTGAGAGTTTCATCCTCTCACAGCAAGGTTCCCCAACCTGTGTCTCTGAACTCACATCCACCCCAACCTCACACACCACACCACTGGGTCTCCTCCATCATGCCCTGGTCTTGAATACCTTTCCCACCTAGGGCTCCACAGATCCCACTCGAAAGCCAGTAGAGGACAAAATGTGGCAATGAGAGGCTCTGCACACTGCTGCCACCCTTCAGCTGTGGGTCCATGGGACACAGCCAGCAGGTGACCACTCAGCCCCACCCCAGAGGGCAAGAGCAGCCTCCCTGGCTTATGCCCTTTTCCCTCCATGTCCCCCCTACCAGGCCTGGCAGGGTCTCAGGCACCAGGAATCAGGTGTGTCACCCCAGGGTCCCTTGAGGGTAGCACAGGGTAGTGCAGACAGGAGTGTCAGAAGTCCTGGTGGTGGCATTACAGTGCCCATGGTGCATGTGACTGAGTCCCCTCCCACATATGAGAAAAGGAAGGCAAGGGCCCAGCCTCAGGAAAATGACCAGAAGTCCAGACCTTCACCTGCCGACCCCGTGGCCCGCCTGTAGGTGGCAGTTTCTACACGTGTCACTGTCACCTCTGAGCACTGGGGTCCAGTGGCACTCCACTTACTGCTGCAAGAATTGGGAAGTCACCTGTCCCTCTGCTTCATCACCTGCAAAAAGGCCAAATACTCTCTGAAAGATTTGAGATGTGGCAAACAAGAGTGGCTAGGTAAACGTGAGCCCGTCTCCCAGCACAGGAGTGAATTTATCAACCAAGGATGATAAGACCATTGTCCTTTGAGAAGCAGGTGCCTAGGGACCTTTGCTTAGCCTCTTACCCTCCCTTAGGTCAGTCACATGGACCTCCATGTGAGAGGGAGAGGGTGAGGCTGGACTCGGAGAAGACCTCACTCTGCCAGCCCCGAAGCATAGAGGGAGACTTGATCCTCTTAAGGCAGCGATGTCACCTGCAGGTACAGGAGATTGGTGTCCCCTGGTGCCCAAGCCCTCAGAGCCGCCCTGCCCTGGAAGGCTCCAAGTCCCGGTGGGCAGGGGAAGGAATTGATGCAGGCAAGCTCCCAGAGCCAGCGACCATGCCCCAGAGGTGACACAGCCAAGTCACACAGGCAAGTGCTGGGGGGAGCAGCAAGTCCTGGGGATCCTGGGCACTGTCTTCCACATGAAGTTTAATACAAGAGATGAGATGGTCTAGACGACAACATGCCTAGGAACACACTGGCCTCTAAAGGCCAAGTGGGCCTAGAAAGCGAACCCAGCTCTAGGAATGCAGCCAGACACACAGGGACAAATACTACAGGACTCTCCTAGCAGGAGGTCTCTGGAGAAGACACACCCAGGGGGCCCAGCAAGGTGGGTGCTGGGGGCCCATGTTGGATGAGGACAGCTTCAGTCTGTGGAGCTGGCTGGTGGGGATGGGCTTCACTACACTGAGAAGGTGCTTGCTGCCCCAAAGCTCCATGCCTCGTCGTTGTAAATGTCATACTGTGAATTTTTAAAAATGCACTGCACTGTAGTAAGAAACCTGCGGCCCAGCCCTTGCCACTCTGGGAACCCACCCTGCTGGGAGACACCGCAGCCCTGGCACAAACATGAGGCCCCAGGCTTGCTGCCTCTCTGCCAGCAGAGATGAGAGAGCCACCCCAGCTCACAAGATGCTGCAAGGAGTTAGGTGCACCTAAATGAACCCAGTCCATGCTGGAGAGGGTGCAGAGTGCGCAGCCTTATCTCTCGGGAGGAATGTGTGGGCGGCCGGGAGCCTTTCAGGAAGGAGGCCCAAGCCCCATCACGGCCTCTGTCCTGCAGAGGGGCCCAGCGCCCACCACACAGAAGAAGGAATCTGACTTGTTTCTGTTTACCCCTTTTGTACTCTGCGTTTGTTTCTATCATCTGCAGGTTTTGTCCATTCAAGAACCCAGGCCTGTAAAATTGTTCCCTTATAAAAAGGTTCCGGAATTCCAGGGATTCTACTCCTTTAATCCCTGGACAATAGGTGTCCCAAACAACCCTGCCCAGAGGTCATGACCTGCCAGTCAGGCCCCTCTGCTTGAGGTCAGAGCCCTGAATAAGAACCTGGGGAAGGACCTTTACTGGGCAGGAGATGAGGACACCTCCCTCCCTCCACTTGGCCGTTTGAACAGGATGTTTGAGGGCCCTGAGCAAACAATATGAAAATAGCTTCAGCCAGCACAAGGGTCCCTTGGGGGAGGGGGCACACCTGCTGGCCCCAGGCAGTGGCCTTCCTTGACCACCCAGGTGCCCTACTCTGTTTATGAGGTCTGCAAAGTGGCCACAGGAGCCAAAGACCTGGGTTCAGTGTCTTCTAGGAGCCCAGACACAGGTCAGAATGGCCAAAGAGCATCAGGAGTGACTGGGCAGGGCTCCCACACAAGCCCTCGGCTCTGCCCTAGAGTGCCCTCTTGGAAGCAACAGGTAGCCCTCTCTGCCCTTCCGTGCCTGGCTGTCCATCTGGGCCACCAGTCTCACTCTCCTGTCACCTTGCCCATTCATGTGGATGCTGACCCCTCACGGACTTGGTAGCACCAGATCCTGTTCCAGAGGATGCGCTGGCCACACCTGTAGACCACCTCCCCTTGGGCTGGCAGTCACCAGCTGGATGCCAGCCTGCACCCATGGCACGGCCCCTCAGCTCTTGTATGAACGCCTCCAGTGAACCTGGGCTCTGTCACTCTGCCTTTCTTGCTGAGACCACCTAGAACCAAGTCCCATCAAGACACCGAGGCCCGGGTGCCAGACACTGGGGCTGGGGCTGAGCAGCTAAGGTTTCCCCAACCCCTGAGCCTGGGGTCTGGCCACCACCAGGCTAGAAGAACTGAGCCCTGGAGACACAGGGTGGCATGTCTGAGATCCACGTAAGACAGACTTATTCTGTGACATGACTGTCACCCCAGCCAGCACAGACAGCAAGGCCCAAGTTGCAGGTCCCATGGGCCTAGGAAGGGTGGCAGACAGAGAGTGAGCAGAAAGGGGAAAAGGATGGGCTCAGCCTCACAGAGCACTGT